CTGTTGACAAACGCCAAGATTTTTACGCTTTTCTATTTACCCATTCTTGGGCTTTCACTCGACCCATATGTCATTATCATATGCTCGATCATCCCAGATCTATCATCAGTTAACTACTTCTACAGTATTAGAATTATACAATACTTGTGATCAAACTGTATATTCTTTTTAGATTTGTAGTTGTGTCGTTATATGAACAAATATCCTGGGTATGTAACCTTGTGAGTTTCGGGTCGCAAAAAATAGCATGGAGTAGCAAACTAATCTGGTTTCTACTCTTTCCTTCATCTTGGGCGTTGGTTCGAAAAAGCTTGAGAACCAGTGAGTTTAGTAAAAACCAATGTCAATGATAAGGCCTTGTTTCAGTCTAATATCATCAGTAAATGAATTTTCAACCCTAAAATGACCTTCATTTACGAGCTTCATGTTGGCACGTTAAATCTAAGCTATATCGTTATAACAATAACGGGCAAACCGGTTAGTAAACCTATACTTCAAACAAGTGTTGATGAATAAATCTGAATTTATGATCGTCATAAAAAAATACCACCTATCGGTAACCATCTTTGCTTCCTGTGATGGAAGCACGAATTGTTGGTCCGATATCATTAGTTAACGTATTAAAGTGAGATGTGAATAGCTTAGACGAGTTGTAATACGTAAGAAGACTATAGTATTCGGCAAAGATCCACTTCAAAACCATTCCGCTTAGATGGGACTATTAAATCAGACATCAAGTACGAGAGGTAGCTTCAACAAGGATTATTACCTAATAAGTCACACAGCTTTTTCCACCAAAACAGTCCTTCCTGAAAGTCATTGCAGAGACCAACCTATCAACCTTGGAGGAAATATCGGAAAAAGACATAACTCTCCTATAAAATCTCGAATTGTTTGTAGTGTGTGTATTTTTGGCTGTGACCCCTCTAAAGTGTCGTGGACATAAGGTCTTTCGTAGTTGGCTGTAAGGGATGCTCGAACTCCACCCTTTTAGCTCCAACAATGTGTCAATGAACGAGATAGATAATATTCCGTTTAAAAAGTTGATCCGTTCTATATCAAGGGCTATTTCATGGTCTCCTATCACTACGTTATTCTACCTACAAATCACTCATACCAGTTTTTTCCAATCTTTTTTCTTCCCTAAAATCATTCTTTTAAATCTCAAAATAAACCAACTACCAGTATGAGCATTAAAATAACTTCGAGGTGATATGACAAAAGTCCTGCTACTTTAGAGAAGATAGTTATACATATTTAGTTAATAAATGGCTGACGAATTCACCTAGGACATCGCAACCCCACTGATACGATAGCCTCAGTGAATGTTATTGCCCATTTAGAACCTATCCGTAACATCAAGGTATCAGCCTGAACGAATCAAACGATTCATCATTATTCTTTGGCCTCTTCTACTACTGGTAAGTAAAGGACAGATGACTCTCCAACTGAGAAATGGTTATAGTCACACTAGCATAATGTAGAAACAGTAGGTCAGAAGCTGCAGACTGCAGACCGACTTCCATGCTGTCAGCAGCAGCGAGAGTGGAAAGAATGATCAATAAATACCTCCGAAATTATCTACTCAGTAAATCTATACTATCTGGTTCTCAGCATACAAATTTTTAGATTATCTGTAAAAGCTAGAACACAGGCCTCCTAGATTTCTCCAAGTCGTTCGATAGGCCTCACTACAGGACTCGTTAAGTAAAATTGAAATTAACGGACATCGGTATATGTCTAGTCAAATTGTTTCTGGATTATTATAAGATTCGACGTTTCAATGATCAGTAGTTATTTAAGGCTCAGTCCTCGAATATACTTCTATTCTTCCTATTTATTAACAACCTAATTTGTATTCTAGAATTATAATCGCCTCTACGTTCAAATGGCCCAAAGGTAAAAAACGATCAGATTTTGGTGATATTTAGCTGCTTCAAGAAACCTTGATGCGTGCAAATACAGGGTGATAATCGTGAACAAAAATGATTCTCTATCTATCTCATGCTTCCTTCACCGATACGGGTATCATACTTCCTATGGAAGACGGAGACATTGACAGCACCTTATGTGAAATTATGGGCGTCTCTTCTCATTGACACTCTGTAGCTAACAAAACATGTTGTCTTACGGCTTCTTTCCAAAACATTAGGCAGCCAGACTGAGAAATTACTTGGTATCATTTTCACTGACTGATAATGACTCCATCTAAAGAAAAGCTCCTATTTTACGTCTCAATACTTTATTAAAGTCTTCACTGCTTTGAAACGACTTCAAGAAAGGTAACAAAATGGATAATCAGTTTGAAAAATAAACAACATTCAGCTCAGCTGGGAGTTAAATTTATTACGAATGCATTACGAACGCATTATGGGATACGATCAAGATACATTTCACTATCCAAAATTATTTTCAAGGTAAAAAGTGGCAATTAAACTCCTATATTTAAATACACTTTTGAGAAAACTAATTTCAGATTGAGCACAAATGAACTTTCATGAATTTCGATTCAAAGTATTTCTTGGTTTGAATAGTTAAACTGCGAAACTCTCCACCAAGGCAGATCGTAACAAAACTCACCACAGAGTCTTTTAGGAGAAGATTATACGTTTATTTCATTTAAATACGCAATAATAGGAATTACTAAAAACGTCAATATTCAGATATCTTTGCTATTATTAACCGATAGTTTTGCCTTTTACCATTTTATTTAGAACAATGTTAATCCAGAAAGCTATCTCATTACTCAAAAAAAGACTCCGAAAACCAAATATTTCTCTAATTCTATATACAAACTTTGAGGTTTGACAATATTGGATACTGCAGTTAGCGCTAGCTAAGAGTATGTGCGTTACTTAGTTCATAAGGTTAGTTGTCTTCCTAGTTGAAGTTCGTCTGTTTGCTATAAAAGGGCATCATACTTGACAATAGTGACAAACAAAGTCCTATACAATGTTATGTGCATTAATGGTATTCTCACATATGCACATTACTTATAGGTCATGTTTCAAAAGGAAAGTATACATTGTCCCCTGTTTCATTCAAAATAGGTGTGATTTCGTAACAAAATTTATCTACATCTGGAAAAATTTACCAATGTTTCTCCAAATTTTTGGGAAGGACATTGGGCTTTTTGGAAAACCCCAAAATTTACCCAGAATAGAAAGACTGGGAGTAACATGCATTGTGTTCACTTATTATAAAGGCAAGGCAGACCTAGGTTTAGTATCATATGAATGTTAATGGTTGCGAAGTTATTAGCTATAATTGTATCAGGTAGGAAGTACGCACCATTTCTATTATTCCAACTGTCTCCCTTGTCAAACGGATGTTTTAATTGGGATCGTCAGGAGTGACAAATTCGCCGAGTGTATAGGTGTTGTCTGATATGTTTCCTTGCGCCTTTGAGCATGTAAAAATAGCTGCAGACCTGTGGCTACGCTGCATATAGGACCTTCTCTCAGAATTATGACAGTACTATGTCAGGCGACACGATAATTTATGTACGAACCAATCAGATTTACGATAATAGGTCTCGAATTTTGGTGCGAAATATATTCGCCAATTTGTCTAAATATCATTTTGGCATTTTAGCTAATGTTAGTTTACTCTGAAAACCCCAAATCCAACCCTTAACCCTTACCATCAAGTGTAAATCATAATCCTTATTTTTCACATTTATTATTTATTTATTTTAACACATAAATATTGGTACAAAAAGGCACCAAATACATATGCGCCACACAGATCTTACTTGTTATGTGTGAGGGCTATGATGTTGCCCGCGTGCCCAAACCGAAGCAGGTGGTTTACTTAGGGGGCCACACCCGTAGCCTTTAACCTGAAGGTCTGATCCACAAAGCAGTGGAGCATCGTAAGGAAATGCAGTCCCATGGTAGTCGGTGACCAACAATTGGTTTATACGCCATTTGTCCCCCCAAGGATCCTGGAGTCCATGTGCACCATTGGTTTGGAATCAGGGTTTTCCAATTCCCCTGGGCGGATCTTCTATATCCACCAACCCAGTTAAAGCGCCGGGCATTCGCTTTTCGTCCTCTTAATTTCGTAAACAACACCCCGCCACGAGAAGGCAGTGAGTAGGACTTCCCTGGCAGAGGTGGTATACGCGTGGCTATGTGAGAGCATTCGGAGAGAGAGTGCACTCTTCCCACTCTCGGCCGTACCAGGGCATTTATAACCCTCCAGGTAACTTTAGCATCGCTCAAAGGTCGTCCATAAATTATAGTCTCACTGTATATCATTAGTTCCCACAATCCTGTTGTTCTTCAACTCATGTTCTATGTTTTTCAGTCTTATTATCACAGTAAAAGAAGCAATATAAAATATACCTCAAAACATAGGTGCTTGACTGATATAGTTTCTTCAATGTTTTCATCCTATATGACTTAGTTATTTGTAAACTGACGACTTTCAACCTTAAGTGGTGAATACATGTTCTGATGTCTGATAATTTTAGAGATGTTAGTGGTCGTACGCCTGAAAATAGAGTTCACGCGTGACATTGTCCTAAAAACTTAATTGACAAGTAAATTTTACTTATTGACCTGTAATGTGGCAGTCCCATTTTCATTACTGTACCAGAGGATAGCTTCATTCACCATGTCAGACAGTAAGTCTGGGACTGCACATATCCAGTGGGTAAATTACGTAGGGAGCATTGATTTGTTTTAATTACTAACGTCCAAAAGTTTCATTTTCATCACGTTTATGAAGCCATATTTTCCTAATATACCTGAGCAGTTGATTCCACTGAATGACTACTTCCAAGCGTCTTTACAATCTTGCCTGAGAAAAACTGATTTCCTTTTTACATTTGTCCCAATGTGCGTGCTGCGATTTCACGTATCTATTTTTACTGAAACATTTACGATCCAGAATTAAGTGGGATTGCTGATAAACGTACATTTCCATTCCTTCCTCTGTAATTAGCAGTGGAAGTCTGATTTTCGTTTCTTCGTCTATATAGTGCGATCTTAATTATGGAAGAGGCCAGAGCTGTCCTGAAGAAGAAAGATGCCATTCTTGAACACCCGTCTATGCTTGCAGAAGCAATTGATTGGTAGCTTTGAAACTTTATAACCGAATGGATTTTTAGCATCCGATATCATAACCCACAAACTGGACATAACGAGGCAGAGGAGCTTTTAGTGGAGAGCTATCAGGGTGCAATCGAGTTTCTGTTTGAACTGGGGACTTGGCTCACCTACATTGGTAAGATCTTTCCAGAATACTTCGTATTAGTTCGGTTAGATGAAGATGCCCAATCTACTCGTAACATAATTGAATCAGTTGTCAAGGAAGCTATTCTTCAAAACTATGATCGTTCCAAAGCCATAACATGTTTAACAGATGAAGCTTCAGCCGTTAGTTTTCTTGGTCATTACCTAACATTTCGAAATTCAGGACACCATGGAGTGGCTTAGTCAAATGGTCGAATCTCCAACTTGGCGTCAAACCATTTATAACCTAGCTCAGCATCCACGGAACGAAGATTGTCCTTTTTTATCACTATCTATGCCGTGTATAGCTGTAAAAGAAAGTCTCATTGGAGAACTCGTATCTGTTCCTCTTGCATGGAACACTCTAGGCATTTTCTTGAAGTGCGTTATCTACGTTTTACAGCCATTACTAGCTGCCGGTGATACAGTTAAAGATCAGACATTTATGTACTCCATTGCATTTTTACAGCCAAAACGGAATAATGCTTCATGTACCAATTATTCTAGTGTTTCGCATTCAGAAATGAGCATGGTGAATTCGGAATCGCTTCCATCTATTGATGACGTTAAGGGTTTTGTTTCCGCTGTCGATAACGAACATCAGCCATACTCATCGGAAGGAGAGTCTCACTTTTCTTTTGATACTGCACAAGATATGTTAACCCACTTTTTGGTAAGTTAGTACACGTTTCAGTCTTTTTTGTAAGCAGAGCAGTGTCTTAGCTGTAAAGACGTTCATTTTTTAAGCATTAGGCTGTTAGAATAGTACAAGTATCCCTTTTATATTCTAGTACACCAATCTCTTCGTTATCGTTCTCTTTTTCTTTTGCGCTCCTTATTTTTTTTTCCTATCTCTCTTCGAATTTTCATTGTTTTGTGTGGCGCATATATATTGGCGCTCTCTTGTACCAATATTTGTGTGTTCAAATAAATAAATAATAAATTTATATTCTAGGTAGTTTGCCAACGCAGTGACGGTACTAATTTTAATATCACAGCACCGAAGTGATGTGTTACGGCTTGAATCACTTTACGTTGGGACTAGATGCCATCCCGCTATTGTCTCTGCCTGTTTTATCCACAAAGGTGTAGAGTTCGTTTTCTCTTTCCTATTAAACGACGAATATCAGATTCTTAATTCATAGATGATCATGTTAATAAAAATGTACTAAGACAGAACGATTTACCATTAAATAATAGTTCAAGTGAAATTTTATGAGTTAGTATAATAGCTCCACCTTACCACCATGGTGCAACAAGGAATGTCTAAAAAATCGTAAAACTACACAGAATTAAAGCACACTACGAAACAACCAGAATCCCTTCGAAATATTCTAATTCATAAAAATGATAAGATTTGCTTTACGTCAACACAAAATTGTGTCTACAAACTAGAGTTTTCTTATTGTGATACTTTCTGAATTGGAGAATTGTCTCAAGTCGAAAACATCTGAGATACACAAAGAACTACTTATTAATCCTCAAGAACCTGCAAAACTCCAAATTAAATGGACAATCTCAGTGCATGCCTTCTTCAATAATCTTTAAGTCGATATTTAAAATATCAAACTTATACAAAAAGCTCGATTACAAAGAAAGGTGAGTTGAAGCTTTTTATATATTGCTAAATCCAACTGCCTTCAATAGAAAAGAAAGCCTTGTGATCTATCAGACTTGGATCATCGATAAAATCTACTATATTTGATTCTATTCATATCTCACATAAGAATGCAACCCTACCTTTTTACATAGCAAATACGCAAGCGTTTCTCACAATGTCATATTGACTAGAGCGACATGATATTGGCTTAATCAGATTTGCTTCTGGATTGTACTAAATATTTTTTTGCTTTGTTTCTTTGTAATAACTTAAACTCGTTTTAATTTAATTTGTTCATTTATTCATTCTGTAAAGAAGTGGCTTACGCTGAGTCACGAAATGCTAGAAATTTTGTTTTCTACTTACTGTGACACTACGAATATACTGCTTCTTTTATTATTAACAATCTATTGAATGCTCAGTTTATTTAACAGTACCAAGTAAAACCTTAGTAAGGACCCAACGTTATCTTTCTCATTTTCTTGGTATTCCTTTCCTGTGTCACAACGGAACTGGACAACGTGGCCCAATATATAGCTCGTCTCTTGTTTATCAAAGTTAGTTCACTGCAATTGTTTTAAGATTCAGTGAAGTATCGTATATTATATGAAAGTCATGTGAAATATTGGGTGTTATGTAGGATTACTCCTAGTACACGATTTTTAATAAGTTCTTAATAAGTAGATAAGATAGGGTGTGGGTGGTGAGCTCCCGTATACTTTCTAATAATGTGAGGTAACAACTTTTATCAGTACTAAGGGTTTCACTTGTTTCTTAAACATCGGTTATTTTTCAAAACGTCTCACCGTTAAAATATGCTGGTAAGTTAGAGGTAGTCAAAAAAGAAATGGTAAGCTTGTAATACATTACTTAAGTCTGTCACCATTCTAGAATAGTATCAAAGCACTTTTCCAAGGTTCCAATATGTAAAAGACTAGTGTTTGAACGAAGAATATTCTTTTCGATAAATTCTCTTCAGGTTCTACAATTATATATCCAAATTAATAATCCGAAAAAATGGCCAGGTTAAGGGCAAAGTACATCGTTTAGAGCATGTGAATTTAGGATTGTGATAAACAAAATACAATAAAATTGTTAATGTTGATATGACTTATATAGAATGTTAACTTGAATCAGCTTATATGTTAAGTGAAATTTTAAGATCCATGATCAAAATAAATATGGGTCAAATAGGGTGAGAGAGGAATAATAGTGCAATTACAATTCGATCAAATAAGTAAGACGTAATACGGAGGGGTGAATGCGAAATGAATGAATCATGTGTAGTGGAGAATAATGATGTTTAACCAATAGTATGAATAATAATAATAATAATAACAGAAAGATTTATGAATAAAGAAAACAGGGACAATTACAATTGACTACGAAAGGTCATAGTCAAATTAGTTCATTCAATAGTTAAGATTACGATTGATTAATTGGCCTTGATGTCGGCCAAGGGAGGAGGAGTGGTTGAATATATTTCTTCTGTACGCAAAGCTCCGGTTTCTTCATCCGGATGGCTATTGCTTCAGCCGTTTGAAGGACTTTCAGTCTGATCAGTTTTGGCAAGAAATTACTTACCTTATAAATAATTGAAAAAGATTGGTTTATACTGGCACTATGACCGGTTTGTACTAAATGGGCCAATATTGAGCTGTTCATCTTCTTCATCAAACCTTTATTTAGCCACGCTGGAAGGTGTTCACGAGCACGAAAATGTAAATTCCTAGAACTTCGACCAATATAACTCGCTCCACAGGAGCAGTTGAACTGATAAATACTAGTCTTTTAATATGACGGGGATCTTTAAACAATTAAAATGTTGTTCCAATATGTATTGAGATTTTCTCATGAAACAAGATACCTTTGTTATCTTTATATACAACGACAGTCCTTTCTAGTCGGTTTCCCTTTTCATATACTTACAATTGCTGCCTGTTAATAGTACTGTTGCATTTAAATGGACTTCTTTCTTGTTGAGTGTAATTACTGTAAAGTTAGAATCGAAATGTTTGTTAACTTCATGAATATTTCTACTTTTATTAGGAAATGGGTTGTCATAGTGAACATGGATATTTACTCTTGCAATCTATCTTGCAGTGTTTGGCACGAAAAATGAAGAGCCATTGTGCTCATCATCTTATTTGGCTTTTGGAAGCTGAAGCAAGTCGAAGGTTCTGATAAGTTTGATCCTGTCTTCAATTTTAGTTACAGTTTTTCATGTGTTAAACTTTGAATAGTTTGTCATAAATTAGTAGATAGTGAAAGGTTTTTGTACTAGGGATTTAGAGTTAACTGATGCTAGTAATAGTAAATTTTCTCTCTATAGATGCGCGATTGTTTGAAAGTAAATTAGATTTACTTTTGAGATGCGAAAATCCACTCTTACGTTCATAAATTTTTTTACTCTATTTTATTTACTTCTGTAAGTTGGCACCGGTTAAAGTGGATTTCCTTATTGAGTTACTTTATCTTTTCTTACCGGAGAGGCCTCCGTAAAATCTTCAAATTTCGATAAATTACTATTTCAACCTTTCAGTTGAACAAATGAAAATTCAAATACATTAATAATTTTACAGTTATTTGTAGGAATAATGACGTACAACGGTTTTTTAGAACCACTAAGTCCCAGGTTCGAACCCCACTCTACCTACGTACTTCGGTTTGGGCAGCCGAGTGGTGTTATCTTGTCTCGCATTTAGAATGTGGCTCATTCACAAGTATTTAACCCTCCATTCCCAGACAGTGTGAATGAAACATTGAAGTAGGTCCCCCAACTCTAGCTGGAGTTCAAAAGGCTATAGTTAATCTGAAATGAGGAAGGGCAGCTGGTCTAGATAGATTGGCTCCAGAGATATCCGTCTATCAATAAAAGGGCGAGTATACTGCGTGGCAGTTCGTTCTGTTTTACTTTACGGCTGCGAAACGTGGGCATTAAGAGTCGAAGACACTCGTAAGCTACTAGTATGTGACCACAAATGCCTTAGAAATATTGCTTGCATCTGCTGGGATCACCGGGTAAGTAATAGTGAGGTTGGACGCAGGGTATTAGGGAATGATGGTAAACCAGTAGATGAGGTTGTGAATCTTCATCGACTGAGATGGTTGGGTCACATGTTGCGTATGCCTGAACACCGATTACCACGACGTGCAATGCTATTTGGCGTTGGGGATGGTTGGAAGAAAGTTAGGGGCGGCCAAACCAAAACGTGGCATCAGTGCTTGAAGTCACTAACTTTCTAGTCTGAGCCATGTTGGTAGATGCAGACTACTTGGTTGGGGTCCGCGTGACTCGTAACCAATGGTTGGAGGCTCTTGCTGACATGGCCCAAAATCGATCACAATGGCGTAGGTGTATACACTCTGTTTTCCCTTAAACTAAGAGATTTAAATCGCTTTATATCTTTCTTTCTACTAATTCTTTCTTCCTGTACTATATCCTTATTGCAATCTTTCTTTTATATATTACCACCTTTTACCTAACCACTGTTATGAATCCGGTGTTCATCTTGTGCTAATGCGGTATGCGAACTTGGACCGATGCATATATGTGCCTGGTCCTACGTTGTGGCTGACTGACTGACTGAACGATCAAGTTAATTCATTCCATTTTCATCTCTGAAAATTTAAAAGACTGGGTAATCCCATATATGTCTATACATTGAGCATGGTTTACATCCTATTACATTGATTCACTCTTAAATTTTTACATCGTACATATTAGTGTTTCTTGTTAGATTTTAAAAGTGAAGAAAAGATACTGAGTCAGGTGGGTTTTACACAGTAGTGATCAGTTGCTTTTGATTTCAGGAAAAAAGTTGCAACCAATACTTTTTAGAATCTTGAATATATATTTCTTTACACTCCTATTCAGATTAAGATTGGTTATTTAAATTCCTTATCATACCTGTTTTTACTATGAAACATTAATAGTATTTTAACTAGGCGATATTGTTTTTTCTGCTTTTCTTCCTCAATGAATAAATTCTTGTTCGGTCTAATTTGGTAAGTATAGCTCCACTAGTCAACCTCTAAAAACGTAATTTTCTTGTGCCTGCTTTACATGTGTCCCATAGATAAATCAGTGTTATCAACCTGATCGAAAGTTAGGAGTGGTTTGATTGGGTACTCACTTACTCCTGTTACCCCTTCTGGAGGAAAATAGGCCGCTCACCAGCATTTTCATCCAACTCTGTCCTGGGCAATCCTTTCCAGTTGCTATTGATCTTTTTGATGTATGTTTCGAATTCTCGGTGCAGTGTGTACTTTGGTCTTCCTCTTTTCCGTTTCCCTCCAGGATTCTAAGTTACGGCTTGCCTCGTGATGCAGTTTGATGTTTTCCGTAATGTATGTCCTATCCACTTCCAAAGTCTTTTCATAATTTCCTCCTCGGCTGGATGTTGGTTTGTTTTCTCCCACAGTAGGCTGTTGCTGATGGTATCCGACCAATAATGGACATTGAGTATCTTGCGTAGACAATTGTTTGTAAACACTTGTACCTTTATGATGATAGTTGTAGTAGTTCTTCAAGTTTCAACTCCATACAGCAGAACTGTCTTGACTTTCGTATTAAAGATTCTGACTTTGATACTGGTTGACAGTTGTTTTAAGTTCCATATGTTATTCACTTGTAGGAATGCTGTCCTTAATTTGCCAATCCTCGCCTTTACGTCTGCATCAGATCCTCCTTGTTCATCGATGATGCTCTCCAGGTACGTGAAACTCCACATCTTCCACAGCTTCTCCATCAAGTGTGATTGGGATGATGTTCTCCGTGTTGTATTTGAGGATCTTGCTTTTTTCCTTGTGTATGTTGAGGCCTTCTGCTGCAGAGGCTGTTGCTACACTGTTTGTCTTGACTTGCATCTGTTGATGTGTATGGGATAGAAGGGCCAGGTCATCTGCGAAATCCAAATCATCTAGTTGCATCCAACATGTCCATTTTATTACGTGCTTCCCGTCGGATGTCGAGGTCTTCGTAATCCAGTCAACCACCAGAAGTGAAAGGGGGAGAGTAAGCAGTCCTGTCTGACACCGCTCTTCACTTGGAATGCGTCTGTCTAATGTCTCCATGCACCACTTCCTAGTGTAGTCCATCGAATCAATTTCGTATGATGTTGACGATCTTCTCAGGCACATTTCATAAGGTTCTACTATCCACTCTGTCAAACACCTCTTAGTCAAGAAAGTTGGTGTATGGTGAAGAGTTCCATTCAATTGATTGTTCAACGATGATCCGTAATGTCGCGACTCAGTTTGTGCACAACCGATACTTACAGACTCCGACCTGTTGATGTTGAATTCGGGCGTCTACTGAATCCTTCATCGGGTTCAGCAACACTGTTGAAAACATTTCCTTGTATTGACAGAAATGTAGTACCTCTGTGGTTCTCACATTTGCTCAGATCTCGTTTCTTCGGTATCTTGATGAGGTGTCCTTCTTTCCAGTCGATCGAATCTCGTTCTCGCTCTCAAATCTTCGTGAATAGAACGTGGAGCATGTTTGCAGTTGTTTCTATGTCTTATTTCTGTGTTTCAGCTGGTATATTATCAGGTTCTACTGTTTTCCCACTCTCGATCTGCCTGATCGCCATCCTAATTTCTTCCGTCGTTGGTGTATTGACATCTACCGGAAGGTCTGTGTGTGCCCTTCCGGCGTACTGTAGATTCAGTGGAGCTGGCTTATTCAAGAGTTCTTCTAAGTGTTCCATCCAACACTATCTTTGTTCTTGAATCTCAATGATTGGCTTTCCCTCTTTGTACTTGACTGGTTTCTCTGTTCTACTGTATTTTCCTGCCGGTTTCTTCGTCGTGTCATACAGTTGGTTCATATTTCCTCCTGAGGCGCTTTTTGCTGCCGTTGCTAGCTCTTCCAGGTATTGAGATGGTGGAGAAGATTTGTAGCTCAATTGCATGATTTTGATGGGGCCTTGTTCTCTGAACTGGAGAACAAAACTTCATTAAAAGGTTTCCATGTATTTCTACTTGTCGGCTCTAATACTCCTCTTCACTTGCTTGTTTGCTTCTGTGTATTCAGTTTGTGCCCTGGCTTTCTCTGTTCTTGTTCGGCTGTTGTTAATCTCTGTCTTCCTATTCTTCCTTTCTTGAATATTGTCCAGGATTTCCACAGAGCTGCATTTCTTATGTTGATACTTCTTGCGGTTCAGAATATCCTGACACGTTGAAGTTAGTGCTTTTTTGATCTCGTCCTAGTTGTCCTCCATAGTAGTTTCTTCTTCGTTCAGTAAATCTTACAAGGCTCGGAACCTGTTGTTGAGAGCTTTATTGAATTCGTTGAGTTTGTCACTATCAAGAAAGAAGTCTGTATTGGGCCTGCGTAATGCTGTTTCCCCAGTTGTCTGATGCTTCTTTAGCTTCGGTTCCATCTTGACAGCTATCAGCGAATGATGATCTGAAGTTATGTTAACTCCTCTCCTGGTTCTCACCTCTTCTATTGACCTTCTGAATTTTTCAGTGATACAGATGTGATCTAACTGGTTCCGTTTGGTGTGGTCCGGCGAGATCTATGTATCTTTGTGTATGCGATTGTGTGAAAATATTGTGCCTCCATAACTAATTTGTTGAATCCAGATAGATTTGCAAAGCTCTCGCCATTCTCGTTCATATCTCCTAGTCCATGTCTTCATACCCGATGTTGTCTATTCTGACTTTGACGTTTAGGTCTCTCTTCAAGATGTTCAGGTCTTTTCCTGATCACTTCTCTGTGACTGGTTGCAGCATTTTTTCGTGAGCAGAGCACAACTGCATTTCTCCTGAATCTATCCTTTTCTTTCCAGATTGAGTTCAATGGATTTCAGTGATTCTGAGAACATTCAAGTTGTATCTTCTCATTTCCGTAGCCATTTAACTGGTCCTCCCGGTCTCCCATATTGTCTGAACATTCCATGTATCTGTAATAATTGTTGCTGTGGTTGTTAGAAGGAGCATGCTTCTCATGACCTCCAAAGAATCTCAGCTTTCACCATGAGGCGTCATAATTCTACTGAATGAAGATCCTTCAACTCGGAGGTCAGAATTTAGATGGTTTAAATTGTTTATTCTGGTTAGCTTTGTTAGTAAGGTTGTTTCCTACGGGTTGGGGTTGCTGACCGCATTTCCAACCCTCCTCCTTTGTGTGGGCTTGGGAGCGGCAGTATTGTATTAGATGTATGTATTCAATATTTTTCTTAGTTTATACTCATATCTGTACTAAGCCATTGTTCCTGATTTATCATCTATTGGGTTATTTTGTAGTGTTTGTTGATCTGGACCGCCTTTGACATTGACGCTAAGTTATTATGGTCAGAAATGAACAGAGGTACAACTGTAAAAAAGCCTTTACTGTATGCTTTTAAAATATATTCTCTCTGAATTTAAAATGCTCACTGGCTCCGTGTTCAGTTTAAGCTTTCGCAAGAAATTTCTCTATTTTGATGGATTCTTTGTTTAGTTAATACTAATATCTTACAACATGTGTCTGAATATAACATGCATCGTCAACCAATCGGTAATCTCATCCTAAAAAAGTGGCTTTGATTTGTTGGATCCTTTTTTAGTGAAGAACTTACAGAAAATTCTATCCTGGAACCGTTTGCTAGTTTTGAGAATCTTTAAAAATGTTTAGTGGTAGTCAGTTTATAACATAATGCTTTAGAATAAAAAATATCTGTGATGGGACTATCAAGGCTGTCTAGATAAGTTCGTAGAGATTGGATAGCTTGGTGGCTTAAAAATCGGCTCACGACGAAAGCTAGTGGATACCATTGTGGTTGTGCTTGAATCGCATTTTGAAATTTTCTTGTTATTATTATGTAATTTTTCCGTACAGTGCATTTTTGATGCTTGATTAACTCAATGGTTTTAAGCTCGAAGTAAATATATGTAGCTTTATTTCGCATAGAAAATATAATAAGATAAATTAACTGGGTTTTGTATATCATGGATCTGTGAGTTCCACACTTATACAACTAGTCATTTGAATATTCTCCGTATATGTGATATGCCTCATTTCCTTTTGTATTTCGCTTGTTTTTCGGATTACGTTTATCTTTTAATGATTACATATTCGATCCAGGGGCCGTGACGTGAGTCGGTACACAACGTATCTCTGTGGTGCCCGAGATTATCCTGATAGCATGGATGCGATGCGTATCATCCTTAAAGAACAGGATTTAATTCCGGATGCAGTTTTGCTGGTTAGTCATCTTTTATAAATCCTCTATTATCGCCTGTAGATATCCTTTCAAAGGTTTTTACAATTCACCCAGATAGGTGATAGTTTACAGGACTAAATCATAAAGTTCACTATTAATCTAGAAATTTGTATTTTTGTAATAAATAACGGGTACTGAAAGCCGGATTTCTAACCTCTAAATAAGTTCCATCAAGTTTGGTAGCTCTACTCCTTTGAAAGTGTAAACTTCTTTCCAAATTTTAATGGGATTCGTCCGTTTGTACCATTAAACGCTTAGTATCGCAAAGAATATATTACATAATGTGTCAGAGTTTTCTTGTAGAACAGATATAACGGAACTGAAGGGATAGACACTGATTACGTTGTTTACTTATGACGGTTGATTGTGAACAGAGAAAACTTCATATGCGTTAGGTGGATTTGTGATTTGTAAACTGATGCCTACGAATGAACAACTATATATGTTGTAACGAGCGTTATCCGTGAGTTGACACCGATACTCAGTCTTCTTATACACTAACCCAACGGGCTACTTCGTTGCAAAGATCAAGAAGAAATCGATATATATATATATATATATCTTAGGAAATTAAGTGACCAATGGTATGTCTCATTCTCTAGGAATGAAAGTTATTTCCAGCCCAGTCACATGTTTTCATCATTTAGCGGATTTCCGATTGGCCTAATGTTTCAATATCCATTGCGAATTCCTGCATATGAGTGTTATGCTCAAGATTATTTACTTAACAGTGCGTTGCTTTCCTCTATTTTTCGGAAAATATTTTTCATAATAGATATTTTTGAGAATACAAGTAATGAAGAATGTCTTAAATTAATTTCTTGATTCTAAAATAGATTCGTTTTAAGCATTTAAAACTCAATCTCAACGCGAAAATCACCAAACATTTCTCAAGCATTTTGGAAACATCTCTTAAAAGACTATCGACTCCCTAGCTGTTCAAAATAGATGTGCGAGATAACATCACTGGAATAATAAGAATAACAAATTTTTACTAAATTCGAAAAACTAAAGTATTTGTTAAAAGTAGACCCTTCATTAAACGTTTAGAAAACTGCATTTTTGATTGGTTATAGAGGCGAAGGGATCGAAGGTAAATCGAACATATTTCACATCCTGTAAAATGTTATTCCCCCTGTCGGAGCTCACCTCTATTAATATGCGCTCTTTTGATAACCACCCTTATTAATATACACCATTTTTAAGTCCCCCTTTTGGTGGGATACCCTCCTTGCCACCTCAATCGTCAAAAATTTGCATCCTAATCAACTGATCTGGCATTTTTGCGTAGTAGCTTATGCCTAAACTCAACATTCCCGACCCATTTGTTTCACGAAACACAAACAATGCTTCAGAAACAAGTCAAAAACCTGCCGTGTATGCATGTCCTCTACTTTCAGAGACCATGCTTTACTTCCATAAAGTAATAAGGAGTGGCAAGTTTAAGAGGTATTTAGTTATATAGCTTTCGTTCTATCAAAGCCCCCAAATGCCCTGGTATGACCGAGAGTGGGGTGGGCCTGTCCCCTCTCGAAATGCTCTCACATGGCCACGCGTATGTAGCCTCTGACAGGGAAGTCCTACTCACTGCCTACTCGTGGAAGGGGTGTTGTTTATGAAAATGAGAGGATGAAAAGCGAATGTCAGGCGCTTTAACCGGATCCCAAACCCAATGGTGCACATGGGCTTCAGTATCCTGCGGGAACAAATGGCGTATGAGCCAGTTTTCGGTCACCGGCTATCATGGGACTGCATCTCCTCACGATGCTCCCTTGCCTTGTGAGTCAGACCTTTAGGTCAAAGGCTGCGGGTGTGGCCCCCTAAGTAAACCACCTGCTTCGGTCTGGGCACCCGGGCAGTATCATAGCCCACACACAAATATAATGGTAATGAAAATGTGTTGCGCATACATATTTGGTGCCCTCTTGTACCAATATTCATGTGTTCAAGTAAAATAAATAGAAAAAACATCACTGGGAACATATACAAAACAAGTCGATCACTCATATCTTACAAAACCATTTAATAAACACTTCTCATTATTTTTTCAGCTTGAGGAAGCATATAAAGGAGATGCCCCCCCACCAGTAGCTTTGTTACGACAACCCATTTTCATTGGTAAGTATGTTTTAATTTGCCACTTGAAGCTTCGATTGGAACTTATTTTTTAAAAGTCAAGTTTGGGATTTACAAACAATCCTATAACTTTGCCAATAACAAACCACCTTGTGTGTCTTGTGAAACTAAGTTAGAGCCTATCAAATACCAAACTTTATGGGTAACATTAACTGTCGATAGAAGGGATTTAACCATTTATTTCTAATGAAAATCAGATATGATGATCTTGTGTTTAAGGAGCGAACACTTAAACCATACTTTGTGTACCATAATTTAGACTGCTTATTAATACCATCGGTTAACATAGATAGTTCAACTTTAGAGACATTAGCCACAATGTTCATACCCTCAATCTAGGCAACTAGACCATCAGTAACTTAGTGGGGTGGTGTTATATGTTGGCTTGGTCGTCTTTAGAGTTTTCCTAACCAGTTTAGCTCATAGGGTTGTACAATGGTCATGAGTGGGTATTTTGACAGATAAATCAAGGAATATCCACTATTTTGTCGGATGATTTACAACCTGTTATAACATTTTAAACCTAACGGTGATTCGAAGACATTTACGACCAACTTTTTGCATTTGATTTATATCGTCTGCCTTCAAAGGTCTTATATTCCAACTATAAAGTAATACAGAGAGTACTTGTACTCAGATAGGCATCACACTGGAACACTAGGTTTCTGTATCCATCCCTATCTTCTTCCAGACAGACTGATCAAACTCCCAACATAATCGACATGCTCAACTACTTCTGTAGGCATTGACTTAAGCCAGTTCTGAAACAACATTTTGCTTTGGTAGTATGAGAAATACTCTCTGGATACTTTCATATGGGTTACTGAGGTTTTTTAGGTCTACATTTTATCAGCGTTTGTACAAAAACAGTATATTTGTTGCGGACTACAAAGCAGTGAGTTTTTTAGTGCTACAAAATCAATCCTTAAGAAGTCAAATGATGCGTTTTATTAAATAATTCTGTTTAGATAAGTAGCCTGATACTATGTGTAGTATTATAAAAGAGTTTTGTAATATCTACTGAACATAAGTGTCCCTGTTATTATTATTTGTTTAGGATCGACGTAAGATATGCCCATTCTTGTTCACATTTACCCCGATTTGCTTTTCTGTAACTAGCACTTTTTATTTTGTTGATATTACTGCTGGGAGCTAACTGTTAACTGAATTATAGAAATAATACAAGCAGAAGCCTTTTTTAAAATACATTATCTTTCTTATGACCCTTAACACTACCAGTTGGTAGGGTAGTTTAATTTGTGTTCTTTTGTCAAGTATGACTTCATTTGTTTAAGCATACTACACCATACTACTACCAATACTAAACATTTCGTTGTCATATAAGGTACAATTAGTAAGTGTTTCATGTGTTACAACAAAATAAAATAGTCTTATTTATCCACAACACTGTAATACTTTACGATTCAAACTATGTAGATGTTGATTGAACTTGCTAAGATCTATGCATACAAAATCACATGTGTAGCAAGAATATATTTTCAGTACAATAAAGAAATACCAAGTTATTTGAGTTGTTGTCAGTTAGTTGATGGTAAATGTGTGCAAGAATTCGATCGAGAGTGTCTTTGTATACTAGTTTTCTCTCCGTGTTTAACTGATTAGTGGGGTTTGAACTGACACTTGTGACGGATATTTTGTAGCATATCCTTCCGTAAGTTGTTCGTCAGAAATAACTTGCTGCATGATATTCCATATCCTTAGTTGGATGAGCAATTTTGTTACCAGTGAACGTAATCGAAGATAGGTATCAAGATCGTTATTTCTTAAATTAATGAGCCTATGTGTACATGTGCAAAAGACGATTTGTAGCATTTCAAGAATTTTATTTATGTGTTAACCAGTGGTAACAAATTTCACAATAATCATATTGTTTTTATGTACTAGCACTTCTAGCAGATGCATTATTTGCAAGTTCTGATAGATTGTTAACTGAACAGTTAGAGCAATATGCCTACCTTTACACCTATGCTGCAGTGGTCGTTGAAGAGATTGAACCTACTACTGAAAGACGTATCTCATGTATACGTACTGAAGTTGATGAAGCAAAACGTGAAGTTTTAGAAGCAAGTCGAATTTGTAGACAAGTACGTACCAGTAACCTGTCGACGATATTCAGCAATTTTTCTCATATTTTATGTTCCCTATTTTCTGGTGATTACGTTGGTTTAGTTTATTATCTTATGCGTGTTGTCATTTATTTGAAACTGGTTCACTTCAGTTTTAGTACTACAATAGTGTCCTTTACATGTACATATACTTGAGAATCACTTTGTACATGTGTATCATCAACAGCTTCTTTGCATAAAATATCGCTGCAAATAAATGGAACACAAGTAGACTAAAACAACCTAACAAATTTTTCAGTGCTTAAAATCATCACGGAAAAAATCAATGATCAGAAAAAGAGTAAAAGTAATTGCATCAACTATGTCAGTGACAGTTTTCATTCTCCTGTATATATTCAGTCAGTCAATTAAAGTTTCTCTTATCTGAAAACTATTCAGCAGTCTCACTGCAATAGCACAATGAGTGATTAAAAAAGTTATTGCTATGTTCCACTAGCTATGACCATTAACCTGTTACACAGACATTTAATTGGTTACGGGTGGCGAATAGTACTGCTAAATTTATGCATCCTAAGAGCGGCATAACTCATGGTTTATTTCAAATTCCATTGAGCATATACAATACCTTTCATCTTAGTGTCGCTAGAAGTGAGGTAATCTAACGCATGCTTAAATTTAGAAAGGTCTGAATTACCGATAAAACTGTTAAATCGAATCACTTGTACGGTTCTGACCGTCTTTGCAATAAAGCACTCGGTTTCTTAAGACTTTATTTACTAATCGACTGGGAATTCATTGTTCACCCTACGCAAAACAATTGTGTTCTTGTAATCATGTGTCAAAGTTAATATTTTCATAACTTTATTGGCTATGGAAAATCTTTTTTCAAGTTGTTACGATTTATGGTTCTGTCCATACGAAAGACTAAGTAGGCTTCACCGTAAAGTGACAGAAAAAGATCAGAATAATTCACTTTGACATTCATCCCAGTTCCTACTCAATGTAATTACCGTTTTGCAATTCAGTTTACATATACGATACACATACAAAAACCTTTCATTTTTTATTTCAGTGGAACAATATGTCTGGCAGTGGAATTAGTTTACGTGCTTTCCGAGACCTTCCATCGCTTTTGAGATGTTTATCGTGTCGACCTGTTTCACTTGGTGTATTTCGTTTCGTTCGGGTCGTTTTTCATACGAAACGCGTTGATTTCGAATTAAATATGGACACCATGAAACCTTACTGTATAGTAGTGAATGAATTGGCTGAGGTCAATGAATATTTACGTCCAGCTCTCTTAGCATTTATCACAGAATTACTGGCTTCTTCAGTTGAAGGAATGGAAGACTTGAGTCAGGTATGGTCGAGGCATCTTCTGTTAAACGCTCCCCCTTCATGAGTTCGCTTTCAGATTATCTTCATTACTTTATCTTACATTTTTATTTTCTTCGACTTAAACAACGTTTATCGTTCTTAGCCCCATGGTTTGTGGAAATCGTTCACTTTGCGGATAACTTTACACCATGGATTGAACTTGATTAAACAGACACTAAAACTTAGAAAATATACTGATGAATAAATTACAGGTGGATTTTCCTGACTTTAATGAGAAGCTGTGATTGATGAAGTTCAATCATTTCTGTTGTTAGACAGGTGCCACCGATGGTAATGGATGGCGGTCGTATAATATCGCGAACCATCTGAAGCTGAAAGTGTCAATCATCGAACTTCAACTTTAGGAATCTGAAGGTAATAAACTTACTGTTGGATATAATGGTCCTAAGTTTGTTCCCCGCTCGGGTCGTAGGTATTCACTACTGAGAAATCTCATACTAGAACGAAAATATTGTTCGGTGTTCGTTGGTTTTTAGTGCTTTTCTATCTAAAGTCAGTCCATGATGTAAACTGTTACTTCTTATCAAAAAATCCTAATGATATCGCTGTAACATAAACTCCTTCCTGATACTTGTTCAACGAAACAAGATTAGTCAGACTCAATGCAATAAAAAATCCAAGACTGTTAGATGAAAATTTATTTACAAACCAATAATCGATTACAAGAACATTCTAAATAAATATGAAAGATGTCGTTCTAAATGCTTGGATTAGTTGAACTAGCATTCAATAACTTAATATTTACATACAATTGAGTTGTATATCTTCCTCCTTTCTCATATAAACTATTCACAAAGTTGATATTTTACTGTACAGCAATCACCTCTAGCAGCGTTTTACACGACGTTTTGTTGTTTACCTTTTACTTTCCGGAAGGATTTAAATACTTACTTTGTGTATGTTTATATTTACCACGACCATATTTTATTTCATTAATTTTTTTCCTATTTCGCTTCTCTGTCAGTAAGACCTATTTTATTAGGTACAAAATATCCACTTTTTAAAAATAATTTAACTACCTGAACGTTTATATTTTACAGTTAGAATACAAACGAATGTTGGTCGGATTACTTGTTCATTTACTATCATGTGGCCATGTACTTCCTGTAATAAACACAATGCATAGACTGTTTTTACGCAATCGTGTTGATGTTTCTATTGTTCGCCATTTTGTTACAGAAGTACGTGACATGTTTTTTGATTTTATATTATGAATATTGATAGATTATTACAGCGTTCACCATATACTTATCTATTTGAGATGAACACTTAAATTCATGTTGGATAACCAGGAAACAAACAGTTTGCAAATCAAGAAAATTTTTGTTATCAGTATAGGGTTGTGGAGATCTCAATCAAAGCTTTTGTTTTCAATTTTCATAATCGTCTGTTATTAGCCTTGGTATTAAACTTAAAAAGGTAGCCTCTAAGCTCGTAATATGTTAACCGATTTTTATCTTAGTGTTACCACTGACAATTTTCTTCAATTGAGTTCGCTAACAAGTAGGCCCAAATCCTATAAAACTAGGTGTTAACTTGAGTAAAACATTAATTCAACAGATAGTAATTATGTACACCTATCGGAAATCGTGCCTGATTTTTATCCCCATAATCATTTAATAATTACCCTTTTAAACCCATATTGTGTGGTTTTGTAACTGAAGGAATTACCAAAATTAGAACTGCCGTAAAATTGTGAATTTCAATTAATAACGATGAATATAGACGCTTGTGAGACCATTAGCAATCGCTTATATTTTTTAATTCTCTCTCAACTGTTAAATCTATAATGATGTCGAATGAAACAGTACATGTTAGTAAATGATAATTTATTGAGTTAGAACATTTACTAGAATAAATGACTAGCATTCATATACATATAAAATGTTACCATACACATAAAAGTTAAAACTAGGGGCTCTAGGATAGTGTTCAGTTTCATGCTATTTCATTTATCTGTTTACTAGACAAGATCTATACAATTCATTATCCTTATTCATATCACAATAATCAGCTATTTTGTCTGAAGTGCAAATAATAAACTTGTCGAAATACCATCCAGTAATTATTAATGTACTGCTGTGCATTATCCATATCCCTGCTTCAATCATATTTTAGTGGACGAATGGTTTATTTGATATAAACTATACTGGGATAACTAAATTTCTGTTGATCGATTGGTTTTATCATATACTCTACGTGTAAAAATAAAGTACCTACTCACTGGAAAGTTTTCCTATGATACCCAGGTGAATGCTATTTAAATAGGTCTTTTGCAAGTCAATCATCTGGTATCATGCTTCGTATATCCAAAAGTTTGAAGAAGAGTTGTGTTTCAATTTTTACTGAAACTGATGTCTGAAAATGTCTCCAATCACTTAACTCGTTTCAATTTTTAGGACCTGACGAAATCCTAAATCAAACCGAATCAGATGGTTTACTTAGGGGGCCACACCCGCAGCCTTTAACCTGAAGGTCTGATCCACAAAGCAGTGGAGCATCGTAAGGAAATGCAGTCCCATGGTAGTCGGTGACCAACAATTGGTTTATACGCCATTTGTCCCCCCAAGGATCCTGGAGTCCATGTGCACCATTGGTTTGGAATCAGGGTTTTCCAATTCCCCTGGGCGGATCTTCTATATCCACCAACCCAGTTAAAGCGCCGGACATTCGCTTTTCGTCCTCTTAATTTCGTAAACAACACCCCGCCACGAGAAGGCAGTGAGTAGAACTTCCCTGGCAGAGGCGGTATACGCGTGGCCATGTGAGAGCATTCGGAGAGAGAGAGTGGACTTTCCCCACTCTCGGTCGTACCACGGCATTGGTAAGAAAGAGCTTAACGTCCCTGCTAACTCAAGGTGTGATACACGGAGCTGTTTTTCCACCCTTTTGCGTGATCTGCCATCTTTTACAGAAACCACTTGTTAAGGATGCGGATGGTCTCACTGTCTGCGCATTGATTTCTGCCTCTACATCCCTTTGAAGTGAATGAGTCCTAGTCGCTCATCGAAAGACTGTTTTTTGTTAATGCTTTGTAGTGTCGGTTACTGTGTTAAGCCCACACAGCTTATTCTAGATTTTGGACAGGCCAATTTATTCATTATTCTTGAGTCACGTTTCGACCTTGTTAATTATCAACCTTGACTATTTTTATATGAGCGCATGTGTGTACATCTTATCTTACTCATCACATGTCCGCAACTTATTTTTGTGTGACTATAAATATTGATTGACGCTTGGTTGAATCGAGTTGGCTTATCCTCCTTCTCCATCGCTCGTCATTTTGTTTTGCTTCGCTTTCCAATAAACGAGTGTATAAAATATACGTATTCGAAATTCATCCTTGTATTTGACTTATTTAATTCCGTTACTCACCAACGCAAGTTAAGTCGATAATTTTACACTTGGATTGAAGATATGTATATATTTCAATAGCAATCAATCATACGATCTAATTGGAGTCAGATCTGGGGCCACAAAAGTCTCACACTTAGCCCTTTTAGATGTCAAACTGTTTATTTTGACCTGGGACATGAGCAGCACTTAAACACTTTTTGGGAATCAAATGAAGTTTGTACTATTGGAGATTCTGTGATAAAAAGAATGTTAAAAGTTGCTTACCTTTGTATAAGTTTTTCCTCTTACCTTTCTTGGTCTTATCATACCTTATAGATATTGAAGCAAGTTATGTCTGACTTATTATATAAAGAGGCTACATACTTTTGAGATTATTCGATAAATACTTCTACTTTTTGTGAATTTTTGTATTATTGTTTACTGTTCCTCATTATTGTTCCCGGGGTTTTGAGAAAAGATTTTGCTATATTGCGGAGAGTGCTGAGGACAGTTAGCAGGGTGTGGCGAATCTTTTGAAGTCATTATTAATATGGTTGTGGATAGACATATAAAATTTAGCAAACTCCTGGCAAGTGTTATCTCACCAGACACTGACCATCCTCTCGATTCACATCTTTCACCTTGTTTATCTTCTGGTAGAACAAGACCGCAGTACTTTAGAATCTATGCATGTAACCAAATGTACATTGTCCAGTAAATTAACTATGTGACGAGCAAGTTGTAAGAGCTGAATTAGTCAAAGCTTATATTATTGAACATGTTGCTAAAAGTTGTCTAGATTCGTATCTTCTTAAAAGCACTTCGTCTAATTCCAGGTAGTGTATTTAATTATTTCATGTATACATATATGCAGTTATCGTTTGTTTTTATGAGAGTAACTTACGGAAATATTGTGTTGACAATCCCATATTTTATTAAATATATAATACTGAGTAAAGCCATTAATAATGATAAATAATAATAAAGTTTTCACGTAAAATGTAGTATTAACATTGTCTTGAAATAGGAGTTTATCTGAGTTTGAGGATTTTTGTTTACTGAGGATCTTGACTATAGGGACATCAGTCCTTTTATACCATCAACTTAATTTCTAAGCTGATCAGACTTTAAGCTACATTAGTTTCATTGGTTTATTATCTTTTACATGCTGTTGATATGATGAATATTCACTAATTCCGCATTTTCGAGTCCCATTTTTCTTCATTTCTGTCATACCCCAGGTCCTAAAAGTGGCGGGACAACCTTATGCAACGTTCTTCATGAATGCATTACATCCTCTGGTTGTCCATCCAGATATCAGTGATGGTTTGAAAGGGGGAAAGGACACAGATTACGTGAATGAATTCCTCGGTATGTTAATTTTCAACAAGTAATTTAACATGTATTTTACAAATGACAGTACACCGTCCGTATAATTAATTTTTTTTGCTTTTCAGAGTATTATGAAAAAGAAAACTCGCTATCGCCAAGTTATTAATATGTCATCTTATGACTTCTGTTGTACATAATATGTTCTCTATAATTACAATGTTTTTTTAAGTTCTTCATTTATTGAATTACTACATCCCTTGCAGTGGTACCGACGTAAGCTATTCGAGCTCGAAATATTTTATACTACAACAAGTGGTGTGGTTAGGTCGATATTTTGAGTCACGATTTGGTTTAAACAGTCATCTTTCAATCATTCAACGAAGTGCTCGAATCAGTACTGTGACATCGAAATATGACATAACCTAGCTTGTAAGTGTTCTCATGGTTACAATGTGTCATTTGCGTATAGCTTATTTCCGCAACTACCGCCGGTTTCTGTGGTCAATTTAGAGTGGTTCAGAAAAAAGAACAATTTAAAGACGCGACAGTGATTTTAAATTAATTTTATTTCGTTGGTAAATTTCCTTCAAAGGAATTGATTTACTTACCCATTCGGTGAATATACACTGCGTTTGTTAATAGTTTATCGATTGAGTCGTATTTAAAGGTGATTTTCGGGAAAATCTATTCATCATATTACATTTTCTCACCCCAACAACACGTTGAGTAAATATGTAAAAACGTTATATTCGAGGTAGAACTAAAGTCACTTTGTATCACTGTCAACCAATCAATCACGCCTCACGCTGTTAAAATTGATAATTGACTCGTTTTTCATTCCACTATTATTTATGGTAATTCATTTTTGGCTAGATCGCACCATAGCGATTTGTAATCCACGTAGCCATAAGTCTAAGGAGTCACTAATTAAACGATCTCTAGTTGAATTCACTGTGTTTGATTTAAGTAAATCACTACAATACCCATTTAAGTGTGGCTTTACTAACCACGTACCGTGATCACATGTTTCGATTTCGAGATGATCAAGATGTGGAGTGCCTTTTTGGTAATTACCTTTTACGTGTAGAATTTCATCCACTGAAAGGTAGGACCAGTTCTTTTTCGTCTGAATTTTATAGAAAAATAATTAGAAAAGGTGAATGAAATAATATACTTAGACATGTTTTATTGTCAGTGTTCGTTTTAATTATTTGGTGATTATAGAATAGTTAGGTAATGGGATGAAATGATCGTTGCCGTTCTATTGTTTAGAGGTGGAAGTATTTTTGTGTTAAATGTTATCAGTATATACCCCTTATTTTTAAGCTAGATTTTGAAGAGCGACTTAGGTTTCCACTGCTCTACGCATACAAACACAAAACTATCTTTCCTCACGTTATTTTTTTAATAATATGGATATTTCTTCACTTTTTAGTGTTTGGAGTTCGTGTAGTAGCCAAGACTTCAGTAAATTTCCTACCATTTACTGTGTATTGGATCGAAAACTAACTCGTTCTTTAAACTAAAATATCACCTCAAAGTCCACTTTACTATTAGGTCATGCCAAATGTTAATAAAATTTCCAACTTGCTTATAAACCAGTACTTCGGTAATTGACTATAAGTTTTAATCTCCTTAGAATGAAATTTACTATTATTTTTATTAAAAACCGCTTATACAAAATGAGCCAAACTATTTGATAAATTTCTAGAGAAAGTAAGTGTAATGAAATATACAGACTACTTTTCACCCACTCAAAGAAAGAAATACCTCTAGTTTTACTCTGATATTGATCTTCCAGCTTTGTGAATTTAAACCATGTGACCATATTTAAGTTTTATTTACAGGTAGTTTGACAGTATTTAAATATTTTAGTGGTGAATTATTTCTTATAATAGGGATCCACTAACTGGAATATAGTTGTCCAAGTTTGTTTAAAACTACCTTTGTTTAAAAGCGATAAAATCCATCAAGCCTATTAAAAATAATATTTTCAATTATCTGACAGTCTGCAACGTCGTATGTCGTTTCCCTTTAATTTTCCTCCACCCACCATCAAGTTACAATAAATTAGACATATAAAATAATTCCCAGCTACATCAATCGGTGCAGATTCACAGTTATATTTACCTAGTACCCAGAATATAACTTCATCATTCCTCAGTCGGTTACACAGGATGCTCGGGCTTAAAGGGCAGACATCTGATCTACGTTACAGGTAACCCAAGTTCATTAAAACTAATAAATCCTTCCAATCCATGTCTAGATTTCATCATCTGTTGACACACCAGTTCTGACAACAATTTAAAAATATTGTGGCTAATGCGCTCGACTGTTTCACTTTCTCCTATCACAGTAACTATTGATGCACACCAATCCTGAAGAAACGTTTTATATTGAAAGTCAAACGGACATTTGTGATGTTTAAGACGTTTAGAAGATTTCATTCTGTCATCATCTTTGCCAAACAGAACTACATCAACTATTTATTATAAGTCGACAAGTGAATTTCTTCGACACGTATTAAGATGCTAAAACATCTTTCGAAGTAAGTGTTATCTTTAGAGATATCAATGACAGATAGATGGAAACAGATAGTTTTCAGTCTTAACAAATAAAATTTAAGACAGCCAACCGCCGATAGTTTACCGTAGGCTGACATAAACAGTAATTTTCGAGTTAAAGCATTAATTTTGTATAACATCTATCAGTAACAAACCGCGACATTAAACGTAGAATACATGTCGGAAAATTCGATTACAATCATCAAATAAGAGTACTTTTTATTCGTGTTAGGACACAAAACTATTGACTAATGTTATCCTGCTATTAATGTTTGTTTAATTACTACAATATTCTATTCGAATACTCTTACTGAGCTCTTTTCAATAAGCCTTCTGGAGAATCGGGGTACTTAAAATCGTAAGAAGTAGAATTGGGATTTTTTTCGTTGCTTTAGAATGACTTTTGAGTATTCCTAAACAACTATCCCAAAAGACCTTTACAATACCACTAACGGCGCCCAATCCTAGACGTTTTTATGTTAAAAAATCAGTTGTTGATCGTATTCCAGAGTTTCTAGACTATTCCGCTCACATTTGCTAGGAGTAGTCATCTATTGACAATAGAGTACGACTGTAAATCAGGCATCAATTGATCGCTGTTTCATCTTAATATATAAATCTATGGTAAAATACAGTGTGTTTTATAAGAACTTGTCCGAGTTATGTCATATCTATTTTTATAAATGATGTCGCAGTAGGTTGAAAAGTTATTGCATTCCATCGGAATAATTTGCATGATGAATTAATTATGCTAGATTCATGGTTATTTTCAATAACAACAATCTCCAAAGAGAGAAATATTCTGTACAAGATAGTATGGTACCGTTCTAATATACTTGCTCAGTTATTAATCACTCGTCATGTTACGATGTAGAACTTACTCTGGTTTTTAATGATGAATCCCATCTCTTTGATGAAACATCTCTGTAGGATGATTGCTGATTTGACTTTTCGCAACCAGCTTTGAAAATAGGTAACTTTGGCCAACTGATGTTATGCTTCGTTTCAAAATATTTCCACGCAATAAATCCATCTTCTAGTTTAAATTCTCGTACCTGCCAACTTGTTATCCATGCTAATACACGTGGGATAGTTTTGATATGCTTTATCTTTAGTGTGCCAGTTAGTCGCGGATTCAGAGGGTTAAGCTCGTAATCTAAGTTAAACACGTTTCCCTGTACGGAGGTCTCATTTTTTTTTCTTCCGTTGATTCCTGTCATACATACAGTCCCTGCAGAATGGTCCTTCCAAACTTCATCACTACCACAGACAAAACAATCCCATTGTACTTTTTCGGTATATGCTTTCTATTAAAACAAATGATATGATAATTTAACCACGAGAATTTGTCAAAGCGTATGTTATATGGACAGGATAATTACTATTGGCATATAATGCTTGTAAATGTTTTCTCAATTTAAAGATTGGATATTTTAGAATACTAGTTCTGGAGTGTTGTATACCCCTTGTTTTCTGTGAAGCGGAATTCAAGTCAAGGATAAATCTTTTGGTGCAATTTAGTCGTGACCTGATTTATTTGTCTGTGAATTCAATTCACTAAGAGATTATGTATGAATGGTTTCCAGGTATTTATGATTAAGATTTTGGGGCTGATAATGTACATGAAAGGTAACGTATGTAGATAGTGTTATATAATTTTTCAATACATTGATATTTACGAGTTCGACTATGATTAGTTTCTCTCTACATATAAATATGGCGTAAAATCCCATATGACAAGTAAAAAATAATTGAAACTAGTTTTCCCCATTAAATAAACTTAGCTTAAGAACCATTTTATGGATCCTGTACAAATTGAAGAGTTCTAAGCTGTTACTCAGCACTCCTTAGTATTTGGTGGTTCTATAAGCGATCTCAGATAGTAATGATGAAAGCTATTTTCTAATCGTAAAACTCTTCGCAATTAACTCAGCAAATAAATACTTTGTTTCTGCCATAAATGGAAACTTACTTAAATATTGCCAAGATTATATTAGTTAGTAAAGTAAATCAATGTATCGATAAGTCTGATCATAAACAGTATGGAAATAGGCTACTCCCTAATTAACCACCAGTGATTCATTCATACATTTATCTTCACCGCATAATATCTTGATCGTTACTTTTTCAAGGATGAGCTTATCAAAGTTGCAATGTATTTTGGCTGACATTTCTCCAACGAAATGTGTCATGAAACTTAGTGTATACGGGAACTTATGTAGACATTATGGCTTATTAAATTAGTTGAGTTTTACAAAAAATTGTACCACAACTGTTGTTTACTTAACAGTATTATGAAAAACACTTTATCAATTATTTTGCTATCTAAATAAGTTGCATAACTGTTTATTTATTTTAATTTGAGTGATTAAGGTCGATTCAACATCTCTGTTTTGCATGAGGTTTTACCTTTTTTTAATAAGTAGTATGATGAAATTCTTGGTTTAAATGAGTCCACTTTGCTTCTCTCTTCTATTGATTTAAATACCTTTAAATGTATATAGGTATGTTCTTGATTACTGAATGATAAAAATCATAACTGTAAGTTTAATCTTTTCTTTTAATAATAATTAAATTATTCACTTGAAGTAAAATCTCTTGGATTTCTATTTGTTAAACGTTCATAGACAAAATAACTAACTGAGGTTATGGTTATTTCCAAATAAGGTTTGTCAAAAAGTACCGTAAATTTTATAATATTTGATAATTTATTCCGAATAAATCACTTACCGGCATTTTTGTTTTCTTCATTTGAAATAGTTCAAAATAACCAATTTCCTTCAGCTCTTTCAATAGTTTATCGAGATGTTTGGTTGTTGGATAGGAGTGGGTGGCTATAAAGAAGAAACTCGATTGACGTTTTCTCTTTTTCTTCGACTCTATCTTCAAAGAATTCCATGCACGTATTTTAGATTCTGTATATAATTCTTTGCCTATCAAAGTTTCTGGTTGCCTCAATGGAGAACCATAAATAGGTTCCGGTCCAGATGTTGCATTATTATTCGTGTTGTGTGGACTGTCCCCATATGTTTTTAACGGGCTCAGATCACTTCTGTGGCAGGATAAATTGTGTAAGCTTACATTTGTTAACTCATTCCACATATTACGTAACAAGCACATTGACGAATGGGTTATGTGAACAGGTTTCGTGTGGTGAAACTGTACTTCCAGTACCAACAACTATGAAAAAATTTAGGCATTGAAATTTTATTTTGCTCGGTTTGAGCTGAGTTTATCCTATAAATGATATACTAGGCTTTTGGTGTGTATATATTTTAGCATACCATAATCTATTTTCGTTCTCTGATGATGCTTCGTCTATTGCCGTTAGTTAGGATAATGACAGTACTAATAGTAATAATTTAAAGAAGTAGTAGAACTTAATACGAAGAGAAAACCCCGGTACTGAGCAAGGCATGTGATGAAGCCATTTTAAATGTGTATGATGATGACGAAGCCAGTTAATGTTAGTAGTTACCGGGGCTGTTAACCTTCGGGATTCCAGAGGTACCTTATGAATTGGTGGTAACATAAAACGTAGGCTCAGCGCTACCTATTTCTTCCAACCATCAAACATAGATCAATGGATTTAGGATACCTTTGGAATCATAAATGAACACAAAAATGTATATGATAATAAAGCCAAGTGAAGGATGATGGTCAGTCAGTCAGTCTTTCATTAACAACGTGGAGCTTCGTACGTACGTACATCAGTTCGAGTTGCCACACCACATTAGCACAGAGATGCCGTGGTCGATTCAAATCCCGTAGTGGTAGAGGTAGTAAAAGTATAAGCAGTAAACGGAAAGATTAGTGTTTGGAGACGTTACTTAAAGAGTATAATACAGTGAAATAAATTTGGGAAGAGAAAAAAAAGAGACAAGGAGGAATAAGGAGATCAAAATTTGGGAGGACACAAAGAGTGGATGCACCTGCGCCATTGCAAACGATTTTGAGACATGTCATTCAGGGTCTCTAACCATCGGTTGCTATCATCTCGCGGTCCCCAATCAGGTAGTCTACACCTACCAACATGACTCAGTCCACTTGTCAGTGACTTCATGGACTTGTGCCATGTTTTGGTCTGGCCGCCCCTAGCTTTCTTCCAACCTATTCCTATACTACTGAACATCGCACGTTGAGGCAGTCGGTCGTTGGTCATACGTAACACGTGTCCCAGCCATCTCAACTGATGAAGTTTCACTACGTCATCAGTTGATTTGCCATCCTTACCTAGTACCCGTTTCCTAACAACTGTGTTACTAACTCGATGGTCCCAGGATATACGAGCAATATTTTGACGGCACCTATGATCAAATTCTAGTAACCTACGAATATCCTCTACTCTTACCGGCAAAGTTTCACTGCCACAAAGTAGGACGGAACGAACTGCTGCGCAGTAAACATGTCCTTTGGTTGATAGACGGATATCTCGCCTACGCCATAAATGACGCAAGTTGGCAAAAGCTAGTCAAGCCTTCTGTATCCGTGCTGAGATTTCGTCACACACCAGACCACAAGGGCTGATGAGACTTCCAAGATAAGTGAAGCGATCGACACGCTCAATTACTTCACTCCCTATCATTAGTTCGGGTGTCGATGTAACCCAATCCTGAAGCAACATTTTGCATTTCGAGGGAGAGAATCGCATCCCGAACATGCTTGCATTGTTGCTTAGAGTGGTCAGAAGACTGCATTTTGTCAGCGTCTTCGCCAAATAAAACTATGTCATCAGCATATTCTAAGTCAACAATTGAACCTCTCGGTAGAAGTTCAACCCCTGTAAATTTAGATGAGGAAAGTGTTATCTCTAAAAGTATGTCAACGACAAAGTTATACAAGAACAGAGAGAGTGGACAGCCCTGACGAACACCACTTGAGGTAATCAATTCTGATGACAGTTCGCTATAAGCTCTCACTCTACCAGTTGTGTTCGAGTAGAGAGCCTGTATAAGGTTAATGTACTTCTTTGGTACTCCTTTCAGTGATAAAAACTGCCATAGAACCTTACGATCAACAGAGTCGAATGCCGCCTTAAGGTCGAGAAATACTACCATTGTGGGGCGTCTGAATGTGTGTCTGTGTTCTAGAACCTGACGTGGTGTGAATATGTAGTCTATACAACCAAGTCCAGGTCGAAAACCAGCCTGATTTTCTCTAGTCTGTTCTTCACGAGCTTTGATTAGGCGTCGAAGTATTATTGAAGCTAATATTTTAGACACTATATTAGTCAAACTGATTCCTCTTTGATTGTCACAAGAGGACTTTTGTCCTTTCTTATAAACTGGCACAATCAATGTTTGAGACCAGTCAGATGGGATTACGTCCAGTTCCCAAATTCTACCTAAGACCTCGGTTAATCTCACTGCTAATACTGGACCACCATCCTTAAAAATCTCAGGAGTAAACCTGTCAAGGCCTGCTGCTCTCCCTCGCTTCAGATTTCGTATGGCTTTTTCAACTTCGTAAAGAGACGGAGGACCTACATTAACTTGCCATTCAGGTTGACTGGAGATCATAGGAAACCGAAGTGTGGCTGAAGGCCAGTTGAACTGATCCCTAAAGTGTTCTGCCCATCGATCCAATCTCCTGGATTGAGAATGAATAATATGTCCATCTTTCTCTGAGATAGTTTCGCTAACAGTCGGTTTCCTAATGCTGGTTTCCTTAACAAGTCTGAACAATTGTCTGCTATTACCTACTGCCACTGCCTTTTCCACCTCTCTTGCTTTCGCTACCCACCACTGTTCACGATCATTGCGTAGACTTCTTTTCAGGTTGCGCTTAAGCTGACTCCGCTATTCATTATGTTCAGAGCCAGGTGGAATGAGTTTTCGAGCATCTATCAGTGCGATAGATGCTGCTGAGATCCAGTGTTGCTCCCTAACCTTACGGGTTACCGTACTAGCAGATATCACTGCTGTTTCCAGTTTTTCGGATATCATTCCATGCTACCTCGGAGTGGGCATCACACACATGGCTGTCTGTCTTCCTAGTTGTTCCTGAAATATACTTTTAGCTTGACTATCATTAAGTAGACCCCTAAGAGGTTTCCTTGCAGTGTCTTTCCTACGTCCAGTAAGACGCAGACAGATACGCGCTCGTACTAGAGCATGATCTGAATCTAAGCATGCGCTTCAGAATGAGCGACAGTCTTCTATCGAGCCCCTCCATCGGTGGCTGATAGCGATGTGATCTATTTGGGTCCAACGTTGGGACGAATTAGGGGTCGCCATGTTAAAAGATGTTTTTCTTTATGCTTAAACTTAGTATTTGCAAGGAACAGGGGGTTATCTGGGCATAGCTGCAACAGACGGTCGCCATTGCCTGTTTTTTGAGCCACGATGCTATAAGGTCCACCCAGGTGTCTTTCCCTATCGCTTAGTTTACCTACTTCAGCATTAAAGTCACCGACCACTATTACTACATCCGAGCGCCTAGCTTTTTGGAGGAGGTCGGAGAGCTTTCTGTAAAACTCATCTTCTTTTACATCATCTGCGCTGCAGTCAGCGGGAGAATTGGCAGAGACAACGACGGGTGTCCCTATCTTTTCGGATCCTTACTGTTCCGTTCAGTTAGACAGCGCACAAACGACTGTCTACTGGGATCCACTCTAAGAGAGCTAGTTCTGCCCTAGGACTCAATGCTATACCTACGCCGGCGAGTCCACGAGAAGCAGCATCTGGGCTTCCAGATACGCGAAGTGTGAATCGAGTTGGTTCTTTATTTTGACATGGTGATGTCAAATGAATGACGCTACTTGGATCCTGTATGCGCGTTTCGGAGACTCAGCACACATCGATGGCGCGAGACTCTAAAGTCCTAGCTAAGGAAGCCTGTTGTCCTATTCGGCACGGTGTTCGTACGTTAAAAGCTCCTATATGTGGTTTCAGAAGACCAGGAATAGCGTTCCGCGTACTCGAACCGTTTACCCTGGCGGTAAGAGATGATAAAGAGACGTGAGGATGATTAGTCATGGAGACAAGAGAGGTATTAGGAGGTGTAGGAAGGATTTGAATGTGACCAACTTGGTCTCATGTGCTGTTACGGGTATGAGGGCTGATGTCACTCCCCGGATGCCCACACCGTGGAAGGGTATTTCTTGAGGAACCTCAAAAGGAAATTGGATTAGGGTTGGTCTTAACGACCTGAAAGCGTGACCGCAGGGCCTAAGGGACAACTACTTGAGGCCGGTCGCGCACGGCCTTTTCGTGGAAGGTTTTTAATGTGTTAGCTCCGTTCTTCAAAGGGGCTTACTGCCGGAGACGGAAATCCGTGAGGTAAGGTGAGGTGTGACATTTTTAAGGTCGACCTTTTCTAACCCCACCCCTCCTTGTGAGAAGGCAGCATTGTTGTAGATGCTGGTTGTCCGAGAGAAACACCTTACTTCTGTCACACCCCTCTACAGTCAGCAGTACGACTTCGCCCTCAGACCTTGAGTTGCTGCTTTTAGTCTTACCGTTCTCCGATCAACCTGCCTGGCATGGTAGAACCTATAGCTCGGTTGGGTCATCACGATAGGCAAGCCCGACCACCGCGTCAAGGTAGCAGCTTCGGTCGGGTATAAAATGGTTTTAGGAAACACAGGCAAAACAAGTTAAATAATAATGGTAAATTATTCGATCAAGTGCGTCTCACGAAGCGTGGATCCTTGAAGTATAAGATCATTCCCGAACTACTCACATTCGAACAAAACCCAGAAATATTTTTTTACAAGTTCACCTAATAATTTATTAACGTTAAGTTAAAATTTTTGGATAGGCTAGTATATGGAACCACATTATCATATGAATTCTTAATTAAATAATGATTGTTATCAGAATAAGCTATCTAGTCGTAACTGACATACTTGCATCCAAAAGACATAATATTTTGTTTTCACACTAAAGCATTTGTTTTGAAGTGGTCCAGGGTATAAACATTGAGAACAATGCTTTTGACAAGCAAAATGAAGGATTAAATTTGAAGATATTTTTTGTAAAGGTTTACTGCTCTTTTTGTTAGGATTGAATTTTAATGAATCGGCTCCTAAAAAACGTAGAGTATTTCTCATATGCGTGTCACTATTTTTTTCAAATATATAGGCTGATACTGTTGATCCTCGGGAGTTTTCTACAGTAATTGCAATCGGAATGGGGAGATGATTATGGACAAACATCATATACTGACTTAGTTTAGCATAGTGACGAGCATGAAAATGTTGAATGGGATCATCGGTTAGGTGTGATGATAGTTGTAAAGCCGACTTAATTGATTCAGATGATGGATTGATGTTAAAGGTATCATTAGCTAACGTAAATGACAAGTTTTTCTCCTTGTTTTGACCTAATCGCCTACTGTTTCTTTGATCCATATGTTGATATCCTTTTCCAGCATCATTTGAAATAAGCTTTTCCTTTTGTTTTTCTGATCTGGAATCCTGTTTATCTGATTCAGAACAATCTGTACTACTTTTTCCAATAAATCTGAGTGAGCTTTCATGTGAAAGTTGTTCTGAAGGGTGCAAGTATGAACTAGTGGCATATGAATTACTTGATTCAGATAACATGCAAATACTGGAGACAAAGTGTTCACTGAACGTATAATCATCACCATCAATATCACAGGATCTTATTTTTAATTGGGATAAATTGTTTTGATTCTTAATACTTGAGTTCGTACTTCCAGTCAACACTAAACCACTGTACAGTTTCATTGATTCTGTATCTACACGCTGATAATTCAAATCCTGATTCGAAACTCCACTGGTTTCTCCAAAATATAGTTCTGAATCGTTTGATTTACAACTTTCAGACTGAAACGAGCACATAGTTGCACTAGGAACCATCGTTTTGGAAAAACTGTGATTAAATTTTACTGTATTTAGAAACCTGAAATAATAAAAAATATGTATGTATAACTATATATGAGTACCAGTAACAAGCCTTAATTTGGGGATAAACAGAGACTCAAAATATAACTCATGATAATGTTATAACTTCTTTAATTGTTCATGACGTACCGAGAGCTTGGTAAACATCTACAGACTAGTAAAACAATATTTCATTTAGGCAGCCATTTGTTATCCCTACAACCTTAGATAAATCATTGAAGAAATTAACACGTCCATAATCATTACGAAATAGACAACTTTTTGAATTGTATAACCTAAATCAGTTTGTATTTTCGTCCGGAACATTTGAATCATTTTCACATTTCCCTTAATCACTCTCTCGAACAAGCATAAATTATCGTCTTGTAATTTCTGACAAAACGTTTCTCTCCTCAACTTCAGGTTTATTCTTGTTTTACTACTTCCAATTCCCTTATTAATGCACTGCAAACGATTGTCTACTAGGTCAGCAAAGGGATATATTGGATTTTATCGAAGTAACCTATGTTGCGCAGGGCTGTGTGAATCAGAATTGAACAACCAGTTTCTACTTCGTTAGTTAGGTGGTTTGTCTGTAGGCGTTATTTGAACTCGCGGAGACAAAGGAGATAAGCGATACTTATTCGCTAAATAATCTCTGCCCCCACATTTAATCCACAAAGTTGTACAATATGCAGATCGGTTGGAACTCCTAAACAGCAGGTTATGTGAAAATCAGGATAAATATGGGGTGGCACAAACATTATTTTTGCAACATTAACGGTTTAAGTTTTCTCTAAACTGTTTTCACATTTAAAAGTAAATTGTCAACTGGTAACAGCAACAGAAAGAAATAAGGTGGTCGTAAAAATTTCAATTCATCAGTAAGCTATATCTGAAATCGTTGGGAGAATCATCTTGTTTCTGTTCGTTTATCATACAGCTTCCAAAACCTGATAAATCATTATTTTCTCAGATTTATCAAACCTGTTCGTATAATAAAATATCAAGTGAACTAATCGATCGTCATACAGTCTGTTTCCGGACACGAAGATTTTTATTACGCCAGAAAATGGAATATGAATTAGGAGTAGTAACACCTAATCACAGTACCGTCTTATTTTTATCAATTCGTACAGCCTGGCATCAAGTTATATTGTATAACTAACAGTTTTAAAACCAGATGAAATATGTTAATTGGTAAGTTATAGCCAACGTAAACAGTTAAAATGAGAATTTTAATGATTATGCGAAAACAAAACAAATTATATATTCATCCGCTTTATACGAAAAACGTATTGTTGTTACCGACTCATAACTAAACACTAATCAGTTCAAATGTATTACATGGCTCATTAGTTACTTTATGGATTGTTCCATAATCTAAATAAATATCAACTAGTGAAAATTCCTAAAAACAAAATTAACCAAGTTTATAACTAACGTTTCGAACCGAATAATACTTCTGTATCACTTGTGTAGAAGCATATATTTCATGAAAACAATCAGTAGTACGAACTGTACGTAAAATAAAACTAAATCTAACTTGTAAATTTTTACACAGAATATGCTTTTTTGTTTTTACGTAGTTTTCCAGCCTACATATGCATGTAAAAAAAATCAAGAGCACTCAGTGGGTTGGACTATGGCCAATAGAGGAATCTAGGACGTTCATTTTATTTTGTTTGGCGGGTTTACCTGGATCTCAGCGTTAAGTTTCGGATCATATACCTATTGTTTCAAACACCAACATTTTATCCAGGTTCCTGCTGAGTCTAGACGGGTACTAAATTGTTTAATAGGTACTGATTTATTTGTAGTGGTTGGCATTTTCTAGTTGTTGGTGTTAAAGGACGCAACTCACTAGTCTATACTAGTACTTGTATGTCATAAGCGGGTTACCCGAATATTTCCATTTAACTACAATTTTTAAAAAATGTTGGCTTTTAGCTAGTAGTGGAATTCAAGATACCTATTTTGTCTCGTTTGGGATGTGTCGGCTAAATTAACCTTCATCGTGGTGTTTATGTTAACCCCGTACGTATCGCATAAAAAGGCCCATCCATTAGATTAAATTCGGAAATTTTATGTTGGTATGCTGCATACACCAATTATAATGGTGTAAACCCAAATTAACATTTCTTTTACATTTTAATTCTAACAGTTCACTGGGACTTCAAGAGGACAGATCTGCAGTATAATTGAGTCTGTAAAAATTATAAAGATATCCAAGACAAAGTATTCCTACCTTGTTTCCAAATAAATGTAATGTAATCGAAATAGTCTGTGACAATTATCTGTAGATATATAAATCAATTTAATGAAAATGTAGATTCTAGATAACAAGGACATAAAATGAACGCTTCTATAATTTACGCACATTAAATTTGACCACATTAAACCACCCCTTTAAATACATTGTAGTTTGAAACCTTTGTTATTATCATCATAATTAAATTATTTTGACTTTTAAATATTTGTATAATTTATCAATACACTTGAAATTATTATACATGACCTTATACACACATTTTGTTCATAACTGGAATGCCGGTAGTAAATACGGATAGAAACGTAAAAAATATATACTAAAGATATCTTGCACATTTTGCTCATTAATATTATTTCAAAGGATAAATGATTTTCCTGATCTTTAAATTACATTAACCAGGACAATAATCAAATAATCATGGAATTACAGCCGTAAGAACAACTTGTAGTGACCTACTTTTATCAAGAGAACGCGATTAGTTTAATGGAAACAATTATTTTTATAACCAATTGTACCAATGATTGTTTTACTGTGCTCGTTTGTTTAACTGTGCTAAAGACAGCCATATTGCTCTTCCATTATTCTCCATCACTGTTTTGCGGTTCTTGACCCCGTTCGCACGTACTTTCCCCTGCCGATTCCGCTTGTACCTTTTCTTGGCACGATCTCGGTATTCATTCGATACCACGAGATCGCCAACGAATAAATCTGGTTACGTTCAATCTTCGCCTTCTGATTTATTTGGCACGTGTTTCTCTGTAGTGGTCTTCGTAGTCAACTGGGACTCGACACCACGCTACAAACTTTTGTCTGTTTAATAATTCTCTATACGATGCCGATACAGAACAAAGAAAAGGAATCCTTCATGTTTAATGACTTAATATAGTAGTTCGCTTTTTCCAAGTTGGTAGGCTTATTAAAACTCTATTTTCAGTTTTAATATACGGTTTCGTGTGATTTACAGTTGATAGAATCAAGTTCTGTTTATGAGTAAACAGTGGAACAACAAATATAAACTGATGTATCAGAATATATTGCCACAAAACCGAACACTTAGTCCTATTTATGATAATGAATACAGATTATAATTATTGAGACTTAAACCTCAACAGTAATTCTATTGGTATAGTGAAAGAATCGTATCTAGACAACCAGTAATCCACAACACCCGAGTTTCAATCTATACAATACATCAGTATAGTATGTATGGAAATTACAGCCATCGTTAAAGGAGGAATTAAACTAGGATGTTCACACATGCTAATAAATAGTGTGATTAAGAATTGTAGATACCAGAGGGGGTTTTGTTGATATTATATTAATTTTACTAGTTGAGATCATGAGTTAATCAAAGCTAGACAACTATGGCAAACCTGGGAGCACTGGACGACTATTTCGTCCTATTGTGGTACCCCTCAGCAGTGACCAGTAGATTTCAACCGTGTCTGTTGTGAGATAGTATCTCACTGAAGACAATGGTGAATATGTCGTTCAATTTCGCGGACTAGTTGAATTTATACATTAATACCGTCGGATGCAGGCTCAGTAGTCTAGAGGTTGAGTGGTCGCGCGGAAGACCGATAGGTCCTGGGTTTGAATCTCGTGAGGCGGGATTGTCGGTACGCACTGCCGAGGAGTCCTACAATGGGACCAAATGGCCTTCCAGTGCTTCCAGGTTTTCCACGGTGGTCTAGTTTCAATTGACTCATGATCTCAACTATTAAAATTTTATATACCTCTTTAAAGCAATTAGAATCTGACGCGCAACCATATTTATTTGCCTGAACTAAATTTGATAGTCATCTAGCTGGAAGTATAAATTTTTGAAAACAAATAGCTTTCTGCTTCTGAAACCGCTTTAGTGGTGTTGTTATCTGATCATCGTGAATATCTTGACCAAATACGATATGGTCATTTTAATAACCTTTTATACCCTGAAGTCCATATTTATTTAGAATATCCCTGAGAAAGCACATCAGCCAAACTTCAGAAAAATTATATCAAAATAATCTCGAAGGTATAGTAATTGTAATAACCAATTTTACCTTAAAAATATCAGCTTTTTGGAAATCTGTTTCATCTACCTATCGTGAAGAGGCTTTTGAATTTTAATCAATAGATAAATTTCGAAGCTCAGTGAATGTTGAACTTATCATTAGTCACCTGTTTAAGACTTAAAGTAAGAACCCATCCATTCATCAGTTTGAGTTTCAGAATGGAGTGTGGCAATCAAGATATATTCACAGCACGAAAAGTAAATTTTAACGTGTTTTTCATAAAGTCGTTTAACTGTTGTTATTTCTAGTCAAATATATAAATTTGGTATGTGACTCTATTTCAATAAATAATAACATTTAAAAAGAAACAAATTAGTAAGAAAATATCACGACGAAATTGAATATCGTAAAAAGTGATTTGCATATACCCATAAAATACGTCGAATCGATCGACATGACGTAGCTCCAGCTTCTTCCTGACCCTTCACAACATCTAAAACTTTCCACTTCTGTTATGTCCTGTGGCCCGTCAAATCAGTCAGAATAGTGACTTCTGTGGCCTTGTGCTAAACTAAGAATGCGTCAACCAGCAGCCTTGAGTCAACTTTGGGTCCTTATTGGTCTTCCGTATCGTAGCTTCTTGCCTAGCCCAGTCTGTTCAGTTCAGAACACAAATATCAGCCTTCGCCAAATGAATCGTGTACTTCAGACAAAAGTGGTTTATATACAAGGAAACCAGATAGCATCATA